CTGAGAGAATAGGAAGGGGGCAGGAGTGGGTGAAGGTGAGGGATTTGTGTGTGAGCAGCAGACTTGGCTTCCCTAAGAGCGAGAGAGAGAGAGAGAGAGCGTGAGAGAGAGCGCTAATAGGTTCCTCTCCCTCTCCTCCCGACAGGTTCCCATGCAAAATATCAGTCTTCTCCGTATCACCATGCTTGATCAGGAATGAATGCTGACTCAATGTGGCCATGAACCTCATCCTCATGCTGCACAGTTCCTATGCTGGGAAAGTGTCCTACCATGGAGGATGGAATAAGGCAGGCCGCCCCGGGAACCTTGTGAGAAGGATCGAAGGGTTCCTGTGTGAGAGCTTCCTGGAGCTGAATACTCCAGACTGGAGCTCGATCTGGATGCATGTGAACAATTTGTTCTGCGCCTCTCACACTGAATAGGCCAAGAGAGAGTGTGCCACCCTTACAGCTCATTGTCTGACCCTGCCTGTAGTTAGAGAAAGTTAGAGAACTCACTAGAACTGCCCTGCTCAAGGTTGTTGATGGTGTGGGAGAAGTTCTGGAAAGGGGGGGAGTAGATCAGCTCTAAGGTCAAGAGGATCTCTTGGTTCTCTGGCAGGCTGGTCTGGCTGGTCCCCTTCTCCTCTATCTATCGCCTTCTCTTCTTCCTACTCTTTGTGGCCCTGCGCCACCCCACCATCCCACAGATTGACACACTTACCAGTATATCCTTGAGGCTTATCCACACAGGCAAATCTGCACCTTTTATTATTTTGGTGCAGCTCTACTACCCTCCAGCGATAATAAAGACAAGCCCTTGGATGCAAGCCTGTCAGTGGTTACTGCCACCAATGCCCTACTGGGTGTTAGAAAAGAAATAGGTGACCTGGGGTGGATAGGGTAATCAGGGCACTTTTATTGCTGATACTTGTTCCATCTCAGATCCTCCTACCTGGGATGCGAGTGAGCAATGAATTTGCCCAAGTACATCTTTTTATCTTTGTCAGTATGTAAATACACTTATCAATTACATCACTCTTTAGGCCTTAAATTAGTAATGTGAAAACCCATCTAATGTATAACCATAACCATGTGGTGAACACAATTATACCCACCCCTGTTTACTGTTTACCCTGTATTTTCATTTTCAAAAAGTCTCTAACCCTTATATTTATGTAGATTATTTTCAAAATGTGAAGCAGAAACAGGTGAGGCAATGTCTTCCAGAGTCTGTGGACAGCCTGAGGTAACAGAGCTGGTAACTATCTTATTTTAATACTTTCACAGCTGATTGGTGTATGCAGCAAAAGAGGGATGATTAGTTAGAAGATCTGCACAATCGACTCTGTGTGCTATGTCATGTTAGCATCAACCATGAGAGTAGCCTGGCTTATGAGCAGACCTAAGAAAAATACTTCTCTTAAGTAAAAACTTCAGAAAGTCTTAGCAATGTATGACATATTTTTGATTTTTTTGTTTTAAACTAATCTGAAAAAAACAATAGGCAAAACAGTATATGTTCATATCATTCAATGAATAGCTGGAATTCTTACAACATAAAGTCTTCCGGTAACAGTGTAAACAGCACTTGTGCAACTTCCAGGGTACTTGGAAACTTACACTGCACTTTTGACAGAACACACTTTTGAAGAGACCTTTTGAAGCAAAGCAAGTTTTTCCTTCCAGTGAAGACTCAACTAAGTAAACAGCAGCATTCACATCTCTCTTCAAAGACTAAGTTTTACTGTGAAACAGAATTAATATATTGGGTATGACTTCCCCTCCACCCCCCATGCTTTACAAAATAGATTTATGGACACAAATATGCATAACTCAAAGATTAATGTCAGTACTGGGAAAATTAGTTGAAATTATAGTAAAAAATAAAATTGTCAGACATATGGATGAATATTATTTGTTGGGGGAAAGTCAACATGGTTTCTGTAAAAGGAAATCATGCCTTACTAATCTATTTGGGTATGTCTACACTACCCCACTAGTGCGAACTAGCGGGGTAATGTATGCATACCGAACGTGCAAATGAAGCCCGGGATTTGAATTTCCCGGGCTTTATTTGCATAAGCCGGCCGGCGCCATTTTTAAATGCCGGCTTGTTCGAACCCCGTGCCGCGTGGCTACACGCGGCACGGGCTTGATAGTTCGGACTAGCAAGCCATTCCGAACTATCTGTACGCCTCGTGGAACGTAAACACAGTGCCAACATGTTCCTCAGTTGAAAATCACCTTTTCTTCGACTACATTTAAATATAAATCTCTGGGGGTTGATCAACTCACCGTTTCAGGACTTTGCCTCCCGGAGATGTTTGTTCAAATGCCCAGTTCTGGAACTGCCTTAATAGAGCTATTAATACTTAAAAGCTCCTCTTCCTCTAAGCTGTCTGCAATCTCCTTGGCTAGAGCCACAGAGACCTACATGTGGCAACACCCAGCTCCTAGACATGCTGCCATCCCCTAGCAGCCTTAACCCAGGCTTCCTGTACAATACACGGGGAGAGTTAATCACCAAGGAAAGGGATCCCCACAAGCCTGCATGAGAGTGGGAAGCTGCCTAAGCTAGCTAGAAGTGAAAAGCAGAGGAAAGGGGTTGGGCTTATGGTTCAAAGGTCTGTAGGCAACTATAACCCCTCCAGTTGCCCCCACGGTGGCCTGCAGGCTGTCTGGGGGGACCAGGCTCCAGAGGCTGTTACCCCCTCCAGTTGACCCCCTGCAGCCCACAGGTTGTCTAGGGAGGCCAGGATCTGGGGGCTGTCCCCAGCCTCCAGCACCCCCCATACTGCACCCTGCAGGGTATTGAGATGGGCAAAGCTCTGGGGGCTACTGCAGTGGGGGCCTATAGGCTGTGGGGGGAGAAGGGTTCAGGTTCTGGAGATTATCACCCCCTCCACTGCTGGCTGTCTGGGGAGCAGGGGGCAAAGCTCCAGGGTCTGCCTCTGGTCTCCAGCAGCCCCACTGCAGCCTGAAGGCTGTCAGGGAGGCTAGGCTTTGGGGTCTGTCACCTCCTCCACCTTCCTTCCCCAGATACCTACGTGTGGCAACACCTGCAGAATATTTGGGGGGGGAGAGAGGATGATGTATCCTCTTCCACTAGCCTTCCCCCTCAGCCAGTGGGCTACTGGGGACTAGGCTCTGGGAAGCTACTCACTCCTCCAGATGTGGCCTATCCAGTGCTCCCCAGCCTGCAGATTCTCCATGGAGGTGGGGGAAAAGGCTCTGGGTTTAGGGTAGGGGGGCTTCTTACCCAGTTTGAAGGTAGGCAAGTTGGCGGAGCCTCAGGCCTCCCACCCTCCCCCGCCACTCTCTTGGTGTTGCTGCTGCCCCCAGTTGTCACTTTCAGTATCACATCCCTCCTCTCTCTGCCCCCTCCCTTTCTGTGTTATCGGAAACAGTGCCATTCCTGGCACTTTACCTTTTCCAATCACCACCAAACCCTGACTGTGGTTGAAGTTAGGGTAAATGGAAGCTGCATACCAAATTTGATGGTCTTAGCTCTTACAGAGTAGGAGGAATTCTCATGCAAATGGACTCACAGACACTAATAGAAGGACTCACAGATAGATAGATGCACTGTAATATATATATATATAGAGAAAGAGAGAGAGAGAGAGAGAGAGAATAACATATGCAGGGATTTGAAGCTGGGTCCCACATATCCCAGCTGAGTGCCCTCACCTCAGGGGATTCTGGGTAGATGCACATATCCAGCTGAATTCTCAATTTGCTCACCCTTTGCTGTGTTTTGTGTGAGATCTGATCTCTCAAAACATCGACCAGATAAGACTGGTAAAAAAATAGAGAAAAAAAGAGAAACGTACTGTAAAAGAAAGAAAAGTCCAATTTTTTTCTCACTATAACAATGGAAACAACAATAATATTAATAATCAGTTGTGAGCAAGACTTCCCAGCAGGTGGAGATCTTTCTCCTGCAACTGGGAAAATCATGACCACATAATGCACACTGTACAGTGTAATGGGAAATTACAGATTTGTTTTCTTATTTGGTGAATTATTTTTCCTCAATTATAAGCTTCACAGGTAGCAGGAGGCATGACTTTTAAGTGTAACATGAAATGACTGCATATAGGCAATACATGACTCACCTGGGCTTCTCAGTAGCAGAGGCTATGCTATTATCTACAGGGGAAGTAGTTGCCAGGAAACATCTATATAAAAATAGCTACATAGAATCATAGAAATGTAGGGGTGGAAGGGACCTCCGGACAGAGCAGTTCCATCCATTGAGTAATTTGGGGTGGCCACCTTGGCCCCATGCTCTGAGGGTATGTCTACACTACCCCCCTAGTTCGAATTAGGGGCGGTAATGTAGTCATACGGAGTTGCAAATGAAGCCCGGGATTGGAATTTCCCGGGCTTCATTTGCATAAGGCCGGCCGGCGCCATTTTTAAATGCCAGCTAGGTCGGACCCCGTGCCGCGTGGCTACACGCGGCACGGACTAGCTAGTTCGGATTAGGCTTCCTAATCCGAACTAGTTGTACGCCTCGGAAACCTAATCTGAACTAGCTTGTTCGTGCCGCGTGTAGCCGCGCGGCACGCGGTCCGAACTAGCTGGCATTTAAAAATGGCGCCGGCCGGCTTTATGCAAATGAAGCCCGGGAAATTCAAATCCCGGGCTTCATTTGCAACTCCGTATGACTACATTACCCCCCCTAGTTCGAACTAGGGGGGTAGTGTAGACATACCCTAAGTTATTTCCCCTCTTCGTTTGTCTCCTTTCATAGGACCACTCGGCACTGTTTACTGGGACAAAAAAAAAAAAAAGACTTAACCCAGTGGCACTGCAGAGGCAGGTAGAAACAGGGCCGGCCCACAACATTTTGGCACCTGAGGTAGGGAGCTCAAATGACACCCCCATGCCTCCTCACTTGGGCCAAAACTTTGATAGGTCTCAATTCTGTCTTTTTCCTGTTCTACTCTTCTCATGGTTCTGCTCTGCTACCTACTCCAATAAAGGAGAACTAACAACTTAAAATGCCTTGTTCAAAAATGTTAAGTAACACTTAACTTTCAAATGCCTGTACAGCAAATGTAACTCTTCTTGTCTGCATAGTAAACACTGGCATTTTTATCTGTTTGAATAATCAAAGTGGTGCTTTCTGTGCCTTCTTGGTTGCAAAGATTTGAACTGCTTCCTGAAGGTCCACAGTCTGGGCCAGCTCATGCTCTATTAAGATGGTTGCAAGGCCGACCAGCCTCTCCTGTGTCATTGTGGAGCGTAGAGGTGTTTTCATTAACTTCAGCTTGGAGAAGCTGTGTTCTCCACTGGCAACTGCTACAGGAAGTGTTAGAAGTATGCTCAGAGTGACAGAAGCATTGGAAAGACGGTGGTCATCTTATTTGTGCACATATATTCCAGTATAGAGGGCTTTCAGTTCATCACCTAAATCACTTGCATTAACATTGTGCATGTCATCATGTGTCAACGCTGTCTCTAGTGCCCTGCATTGCTGGTGTAGGTCTTCTTCAGGTACAGTGAGGAGTTTTGGAATATCATACAACATCCCAAATATACTGCTGTGTTCCTTGAGCAGCATGTAGTGTTCTTCAACTGACAGTATTACACAATCTAGCACCTGATAAAAGAATTCAACTTTGAATTGTAGTTTGGGGTCTCTTATGGGATTATTCTGTGTCTCATAATCAAAATGTCTTCTTCAGTGACTCTTGTATTCTTGAATGGGTGGGAAAATAGCTTCAGTGTGAAGATCCTATGCCATCTTCTGTGTACTCTTCAGAGTGTTTTGAAATCTCTCATCTAAGTCAGACTGTAGGTATGACTTTGCTTTGTCCAGTTGTTCCATTGCTTCAGATATATCAAGGTTAACACCTTGGAGTCTCTTGCTTTCAACATTTATTTCAAACTAGCCAATTAGCCCATCAGAAGACGGGATTTTCAGGTCTTTTCTCCTGAGCTCTCTCGCTCCATCTCTCTTTCTCTCTCTCTCTCTCTCTCTCTCGCTCCTCCTACTACATCCCCCCCCTCAGCTTTCCTCCACCTCCTACCTCTCTCTCCATCTCTTTCTTTCTCTTCTCCCCCTCCTTTAGTCATTTCTTTTCCACGCTGAAAAGTCCCAGACTTGTTAATCTCTCCTCATATGGATGCTGTTCCTTACCCCTAATCATTTCTGTTGCTCTTTCTGTACCTTCCAAATCCAATAAATCTTTTTTCTTAGGTGGGGTGACTAGATCTGCATGCAGTATTCAAGATGTGGGCATGCCATGACTTTATATAGAGGCAATTTGATACTTTCTGTGGATATGTCTACACTACCCCGCTAGTTCGAACTAGCGGGGTAATGTAGGCATACCGCACTTGCAAATGAAGCCCGGGATTTGAATTTCCCGGGCTTCATTTGCATAAGCGGGGCGCCGCCATTTTTAAAACCCCGCTGGTTCAAACCCCGT